ATATTTGAAAGCGTTGCTTTACTCAGTAAAGTAACGCATCAGTAAAGAAAATGTGCCACCCCTAGTCGGTACAACATTCGTTGTTAATCATTAGTCTGACAGATCAGAATGGCTCACTGATAGCGATCCTTTTGTAAGTTAAAGACCAATTATATTTTTCCACATTATATATCAATATAAAATATAAAGAAAAAAGAGAATTTTTGTTCTTTACCTGATGATGTAACTTTCATTTAATAATATCTAAATATACTCTTTATATTTATAGAAGCGTGTACGTCAATATGATCATCATATGTGGTATACTCTTCCTTGGGCATCTGACGAGTTCTTTCATGAATATGTTCTTTACAAATGTATCACTAAAATACAAGTGTTTGAAGCACCTTCTCAAAAAATGACGACAATTGATCAATCATCTCTTCGTACATTAGATGCATTAAGTCAAACGTTGCCATTATCTATATGCTCTTTACCTTATGTGGCACTATCAGATTGCATTGAAACATTACACTTGTCCTATTATAATAGACCTATTCGTATACACTTATCCGCTCTTCGCAATATAACTCTCGTGAATAGTGTTAATTGTCTAAACAATTGTTCTTCATTTCCACCAACTATTCGTTCTATTCGTATTCTACTTTTTTATACTTATCCTAACTATATGCAACCAAATTGGCCAATGATTTTATATTCACTTTCCAAGTTGCGACAATTGAGTTCGTTACGTGTATTTATGTACTTAGAAATTTGAAAGACATAGTTATTGTACAAGCAGACAAGGGCGGTAAAGTCGTTATTCTTGATAAAGATGAGTATGTGTCAAAAATTGAGGAAAAATTAAGAGATAATAATGTTTACGACGAATGCAATGATCCGACAGATAAAATTAAAAAAGTCATTTCATCTTTTAGTCAAAAGCTATTTGAGCAGAATAAGATTGATCAAGAACAACAAAAACATCTCACATGTATTGACAATCTTCCGACAGTTAGAGGTCAACCGAAACTCCACAAAGCTGGACAACCTATAAGAATCATCACATGCTCTCGTGATACTTTAACGTCACTAATATCTCACCTCGCGTTTTCACTCATCAAAGAATTAAGATCAACTATAGACTACACCATCATAAACTCCGGAATGTTCGTTGAAAGAATCTCTAAAATCAAGTTAAAACGTGGTGAAAGAATAGCTAGCCTTGATATCCGCGAAATGTATGATAATATTCCTAAGTCTAGAGCAGTAGATATAGCAATTGGTAGACTTGACCAGTCGTCAGTCTTCAGGAACTCATCCTTCACTAAATCTGATGTTAAGAAAATGATTCAAATTGCGTTATCTAACAGCTATGTTGAATTTAATGGAAAGTATTACAAACAAAAACGGTTTGGTTATGGGTAATTGTCTTTCGCCTTTACTCAGTGACTTGTATATGGATGATTATATAAAGAAGAACGTAGGAAAAGTGAGTTTACCAGAAAAACTCTTTAGATACGTTGATGACATTCTAATTTTAACAACAATGACTGAAGCCGAATTAAGTGAATACGTAACGGAGTTAAATGGTCTACCAGGAAAAATCAAGTTTACTTATGAATACGAACAAGATAAGAAAATGAATTTTCTAGATACCACTATAACCAGAAATGAGAACGAAAATTCTATTGAAGTAAAGTGGTTCAGAAAGGAAACAGTAGCAGACAGATTACTAAATTTTAATTCGTGTCATCATAAATCAATCATGAGAAATATAGTTATTAATATGACACGTAGAATAATATCAACCACTTCAGATACTCAACAGCAGCAGAAGGACCTTGAGAAATTAAAACAAATACTTAAAAATTCTGATTATCCGAATAGAGAAGTAAATAGACTAATTCAAGACACGGTGAGAAACATTAATCAGGCAATTCCATCATCACAAAAACATAAAGACTTCTTTTCTTATAAAAACAAGCTTAAATCATATTTTAATTCATCCATTAAACCACAGTCAAAATCTGTAGTCTATCAAATTCTTTGCGAGTGTGATAGTGTGTATAATGGTGAGACAAAAGTTGGCCTTAGTAAGCGTATGAGTGAACATGAAAGAGAACTTCTAAAAGATAATGAAGAAAGCAATTCTGAGATGGTACAACATTTTCATCAAAACAACTTTCAGTGTTTGTTCAACCCATCCGATGCATTTATTATAGATAATGAGATAGATTGGCGAAAAAGACGCGTGAAAGAATCCATCTATTCGATAGTGACCCAATCTATTAACAGGAGGAATGATCTGGATCAAGCTTGGATGCCGTTGCTACTAAAAAGGTCTGACCAAATCAAAAGAAAAATTAACTGTCGAAAGCTTAAGAGTTAACTTAGTTGTAAAAAGAGCTAACAATGAAACAAACGAACAAGAAATTACTCCTTCTAGTAATTTCGTTTCTGTTCCTTTTTGCCGTCATGCTGTTTCGTCCATTACAGTATATAAAGGTCAATAAAAGAGAAAAAGAAAAATCAAACTATAGATATAAGCAACTTATATAGGGCGTACTTTTGCTCAGTTGAAAGTGTATTATTTGTCTTTTTGTATGTCAACTGATGAAAGAAGAAGTTATCTTCCGAAACGTCTATGCTGATCAGTTAAGACGGAAAAACTATTACTTCCAGCATGACGGTGCAGGACCACATTATGCTATTATCGTTCGAGAATGGCTTGATGAACACTTTCCAGATCGATGGATAAGTAGACGTGGTCCATATGATTGGCCAGCTCGTTCACCAGATTTATCTCCATGTGATTTTTTCCTCTGGGAATATTTGAAAGACACGGTGTTTGAAGAGCCACTTACTTCCATTCAAGAACTTAAATAGAGAATCGAAGAAGATTGTGAACAGATACCAGAAGAAATGTGTCGCTAAGTATGTCGTTCTGTTCAACAGCGCCTTCATGTCTGTATGAATAATGGAGGACAATCTGTCTCAAACTAGGCTTACATATCAGTAACATTTCTGATTAAATAAATAAAAGAATATACTATAGCATCAGCATATAACTATGAGAAAAAACCTCGTTGTAAAGTTTGCTTACAGCGTTAAAAAAATTGTCTGTTTTATGTTCCTAAATGGTCTTTGTGATGAATAAACACTTCTATCCGCTTACTATACTCAGAAAAAAAATCAGCTCATTTGGGTAAAGAATGACGAAAACATTGAACTTTTTCTAACTCTAAGGACTTTACGACCACCTTATATTTGACGGTGTTTTTTGTGAATGTTCGTAAGTTAATTTACTCATCGAATGAGTTCACTACTAGTCGATCATTATATACCATTCGATAGCGCTTTTCAAGGACTACATTTACTACTGTTCGAATTTAAAAAAGCTCACTTGTCGATTTTTGCTCAAATTTCCGCCTGAATGCCCACTGTGCACCATGGGTTATACGAGCACTTCCGTCGGCAAAGTGAACAGCGTATGTGCCAGATTTAAATTGGCAGTAAAACAGTGGAATATGTGCTAAACGGTACAGAGCGCCGTTACTATCGCCATTATCTCGACTGCAGTTCGTGTCGAATTTCGATGATAGATCATCAGACAATTGGCCAAGTTCTTTGAAATCTTTAATTTTGTATAAATCGCCAAATTTGTGTTGTCGATTGATAAATTCGTCGAGTTATGCTTTTGTCGAATTGCCAATATCGAAACATTTTCCTAAGGACGACATGTAACCTTTTCTCCATCACCATTTATATCGAACAAGCTGATCATACGGATTAAGACTTTTATTTACAATGAGACTAGCGGCCAAACAGAGTGCCATGGATGTATCATCTGTCCTCTGTCCAGCATTTAATCCCCACGTTCCACCACCTTGCATGTCACTGACAGGATTTTGTTTAAGATAAGCTCGAGGTCGAAACTTAACGTGTGCCCCTAAAGCATCACTCACTGTCATCCCGATCATTTAGTCGTGAATTCTGTTGAATAGCGTCATATCGTTATCAGGATTATTGGATGAAAGAGCGTTCTCGTATCGAATATCGGCTGATTTCACATCAGTGAGATTTAGCCATGGATTTGATGGGCTTTCACGTCTTGACGATGGTTTGATGGACTGCGAAGTACAATATTGACCATGATCACATTGTTGTGGGAATGTTGTATAATTGTTCACGCAGGATAGACTTGTGCTGATTCTAATGTAACGAAAGCATTAGTCGGTAACGAGAAAATAGATAACATCGTTGTTTTGAGACAAAATGAAATTAATGATGAAAAATATTCAGTTTACAGATAACAACGGAGAAATGAAGACGAGTCGCGAAAAACTCTAGGAATAGATCCTAACATTTGACGAGAATTTGTTGCAATATATTCCATGTGCGCTTTCTACATTAAATTATATGAAATAATAATGCCAAGAAGCTTAAACCCCAGTAACAGAAGACCATCCCTTATCAGAAGATTACTGTTAATCATATGATTTGAAAGTCAAATAGAAGACCATGATCTTCTACCATTGAATTGCTAGCAGACGATAAAAAATTTGACCGCAATAGAAGAGCTCTCTCAAAGTTTTGAGTTGTCGGACAAAATAAAAGATCACCTGGTCTTCTGTTACGGGGAGGGGTTTAAGAGACGAGACTCTTTCTATGTCACTATTATTTACCGAAAGAATTTAGTAGAATTTGAAAATAAAATCCCTTGACATTTATTTATATTTAATTTGACCTCAATTATATCCCACAATTCTGCAGAGCGAAAAAATCCGTCATAACCGATCCGCATTTATTAATTATAAAGAAGAAGTATTGAAGAATGTGTCTACTGATAAATCGGTTGTTATTTGCAAGCCAGATAAAGGAAGAGAAGTGGTGGTTTTAGATAAAATCAACTACATTGAGAAAATGAATGATATTGTCAATGATAAGATTACATTTACACTGGTAGCAGTTGATCCTACTATTAACAAAGAGGACAAGATTTTAGGATTACTGTTGCACTTGCTAAAAAACTAAATTATGAAAACCGTAAAATGCAAAAGTATAAAAGAAAAACTATGGAAGTAAAACTGTAAAGGTTAAAACCATAGAAACAAAACCGTCCACTTTCGAACTATCGATGAAAAACCCTAAAATAAAACCGTCAGTTTAAGAACTGTAAAATTAAAACCATGAAAAAATATCGTAAAGGTCAAAATTGAAGTAATAAAATCAGGAACTGACAGTTGTCGAACGAAAACAATGAAAATAAAAGCGTGAAGAGGAAAACAATGAAAGCGCGTCCATGCTTTTTAGTTGACGGTTTTATTGAAGCTTCCAAATTCATTAAAACATGTGCAGTTTCAGTCGTCAGCATGTCAAAAAGTCGTCCTAATCAACTAATATAAGTTTAATAGAGCAGCAAGTCTTGGGCTTTTAGACAAATCTATCCCACACTTAGGATTATTCAATAAAGAGCATTAGATAAGAGAGTAAAACTGGCACTTGGGGCAGGGAGGAGCGGAAGACGTCTTCCAGCTCATGTTTCTGTAAAATATACTCGTTTTACAAATTCTTTCCTTTGAAGCTGCGACTATCTTGAATTGTTCTGATGCCTATAGTCCTATAGGTAGAGCGGAAGGGTATAGTGAATGTCTTCTCCTAACCATAAGTTTCTGACGTTCGTTATAGAATACACTCGATGGTATCATATAATATATGTGCACACCTATACAGTTAGCGTTTCTCTGTTATGTCTCAGATGTATGTGCGATAGTGAGGAGCTTTACAAATTCAACAGCGATAACTTTTCATTAGGTGTTGAAGTTTTTACAGAAGTCTACCCGAGGACACAATGAGTATGCAGTGCGAAGACATACTTTTGTAAGTTCTTCAGTTCAGTGGTTTGTGCCTTGGTCTCATAATTCATGCTCGCTAAGCGTAGCAGGCTCGATTCCTGGAGGAGCTATTATCTTTTTCTTTCCTTTCAAAGTAGACGGTTTTACTTCCACAGTTTTAACTGGACGATTTTTCTAACGTTTTTAAAACCGTCAAAGCAAAACTGTCATATTGGAACCATAGGAAGCAAAAGCATGAACAACTAAAACCGTGAAAGAAAAACATGCCAAACTGGCTGCGAGAAACCGCGTATAAAAACCGTCATGAGTTTCACGGTTTTTTTTCTCCGTGTTGTTAAAGACTCATTCGGCTTTGTTAATAGAGTTAAAACACTTCCAAGATCATACATAAATTTGAAAATGGAAGAAAAATTTCCAAACCAAAGTATCATTGGCATATACAATAGATGCAATTATTCATAAATTATACGGCAAATGCTCAATTTGCCCAAATAATCTAAAAAAGAAGAAATGTGATAAATGTATAGATCGAGATGATTTTCGGGCTTTGTTTACTATTGGCTACAGCCGATACACATTTCAGATTTAATAATAAGTTGTATGAATAGGTTGACGATGTAAGCGTTGATGGATCATTAGCGAGTATAATTGCTGATTCATATATTTATGATTCATCTTGAAGAGTCCCTACATGATGATTTATACAAGAATGGCTTCAGATTTTGGCAAAGATATGTGGATGATACACCCACGTTAATAGATCCTAATGCTTTTGTTGATAATATTTTATCGTTGTTAAATAGTTTTCATCCGAGCATTAAATTTACCTATGAGACTGAAGTTAATGATACGATATCGTTTCTCGATGTTCATGTGATCAGAACGGTTTCTGATTACTCACCAACTGTTTATCGAAAAACTAATTTTTCTGGTCTCATTATGAAGTGGGACTCGTATGTACCAATGTCAAGTAAACGATCAGTTATTATCGGTATGATTCATGGAGCCCTCATGATCTGCTCGTTATACCAGTTGCTTGATAATGAATTAAGCAAGATCAGAACCATAGTGTTCAAAAGCGGTTACCGGAGATCGTTGGTTGACAAGTTAATTGGAATTAAACTAACAAAATGGTTTAATCTACATAATAGTGCTGATAGTAGTACCTAGGAATAAGAGCAAGAAGAAAATATTCGTTAAAATTCCATTTATTGATAAAAGCTCAAAAATGTTTAAACGAGATTTGTATAAATTTACTAGTCGAATTCGACCCAATTTTAAACTTAATGTTATTGAGAAACCGCCGATTTCAGTGCAAAATGCGTTTAATCTCTAGAAGCCGTGCTTTTCCAGTGGATTGCTGCTCAAATTCAAGAAACGAATACGTCTAACTGGCAGTTATTTGGTGATGTTTCTTGCTCTATAGCGGATAAATCAGCAATACAAAACCGCTGTGATGAGACTGATCACAAGAGAGACTGGGAAAATTGTAAAATATTAGAGCATGCTAGGATTGAATATCGATTACTAATTAAAAAATCTCTGTCTATCTCATCATTACAACCTGATCTGAATGGCACAGTAAGATCAGTTCCACTGATTGTATTCCCAGATGGTTTGTCAAAGAAAAATGAAATTACATTTGATTCAGGAGGTGACGAAAAGGACGATTCGTACATATATAAATGAACAGTTTAGTCAAGAGTGTACTTTTAGTGTAGTAGAAAGTAAACGATTAATAAAGAAATTTCTTTTCCTTTCTGGTCAGCTAACATTATATATACTACGTATTTTTTCTCTTTTCGTCTTATAATTTTCTTGTACAGTATTTATGGTTGTAAATTTTTGAAAATGACTGCATGAGTAACCGAAACGTCGAATGTTCTAATTAAATAATAATTAAATAAAAATTATTATGAATGCTGCTGTATTAAAAAAAATATGCTCTCTATAGATCAAGTCATGTTAAATAGTCTACTATTTTTTGTTTACCAGTCAGACCATTACATTCTGATAATAAGCAAGTGAATTTATGTTAAGGAGAAAAAAGAGAATCTACACGTGACTTGTATACAGAGATGTGCGCCAGTTCGCTGATTTCCCGCCGGTCATTTCTTACACTCGGCCGCCGCTGACGGCGCAGAAAAGTTGCAATGAGTGCGCTCAAATCATTCTTATGTTAACTCATCTGATGCAGGTTTTGTCCGCGATCAACGCTAATTTTTTTTAGATCTTAAAAATTCTTTTCAGCGCCCTTGGAAACATTTTAGTAAAAACGACTCTTCTCGCGTTAAACGACCTGTACTCCAAGTAGTTAGATAATTTCGCCTCTTTCACCTAGACCAAATATCAACTATTATACACCGTTCGACAGAGAATTTTACGGGCCACAAAATGAAATATCAGATAGTCCTAAGAAAATGTAACTGGGTAGTCTACAATATGAAATACACGGCAGCATCCCAGTAAATCGGTTGATCAGCATCGTTCATGTTTATAATAACCATTGATTTTCTCGTTAACCACTCTACTTTTTATATCATTCGACAGAGAATTTCACGGGTTACAAAATGAACTATAAATAGGTCTTTCAAAACTTCACCGGAATGTTTTGGTAATTTTCATTCCCTTTGTAGCCATTCGTAAATCGACTGCAGTTGCGTGAAAAAGCATTCCATACAGCAGGGAAATGTCTTATTTTTCTCAGAATTCTATGCTCTATCAGACTATATGGCTTGAAAAATTTTCCGACCAAAAGCCAAGGAGTTAGTTTTTCAGCGGTCCGGTTTTCCAGAAACCCTGTTACCAACTTTTCTCATGAAACGGCGATATGCATCTCACCTGATGGAAAAATCTTCGGGCTATAGTCTGACCAGCTCACTTTGTAGAGAATTTCAAGGGCTATCCAATGATATGTTTTAGGAAAGTACATAATTTTTCCTCCATCCTTTGGAGATTCGTCGTCGTTAACTAATTTTTACACGTTGCCGCCGAAGGCGGAGAAAATTTTCATAACCTCGCGCCGCCGCCGGCTATGGTTAAAATTTCATTCGCTGCTGCTGAAAATTCTTTATCGGCGCACATGTCTACTTGTATATTGAAGAATAGACAGTTGATCGATACTA